AATGACAATTTTCAGCTCATATGCGAATTCATATGAAAGAACTCCAAAGAGAGATCTAATTTGGATTGAAAATGGTGAGAATTTGGGGAATTAGGGTTTGATCTGATTTTGGGAATTCAGAAAGAGAATAGATAGAGAGAGAGAGACTCGTAAGAGGCAAAGAGGGAAAGATTTTATGTGCGAAACACTGTCAAGTGTTTTTCTTTTCTTTCATTTTTTTTTTCTTATTTTTGTTTCTCCCTTTTCTTTTCTTTTTTTTTGGTTAATGGATGGAGGAGAGTGTTTCTATCTCCTGTGGTCGTTCTTATATATATTTTTTGAGTTTGGTTCTGTTTAAAGCAGAATTTGGCGACAGAGGCGTCATTTCGATATATCAGAAGGGTAACTCAGGTACGAAGTTACAACGTCTATAAATCCATTGTGAAAGTGCAGAAGACGAAGACGTAGTCACGCAGGTGATATGTTTCAGTAAATAAAGACTTTGGGTTTCTGTCAGCACGTCGAATCAGGATATGACAAGTGTGATGCCACGGGTTTCAAGTTTTAACCTTCGACTAAGTAAGTAAAAAGACTAAAAGGGCCTCCGTTTGTGAACTTAAACGCATATTGACTTATTGACTTTCTTAATTTGGGTAATCACAGGTGGTTTGGGCCGAGAAACTGGGCCCAAAAGCAACCATATTTAAAGTCCTAAAAAAATAAAACGCACATTGTATTCGTTCATATTTGAAATATTTTATATTAATTCAGATATTAAATTTAATATTCATATTAAAAATATTTAATTAAATTTTAAACATATTTATCTAGTTAAAAATGATGTGAACACTTGTTAAAAATACAATCTGATTTCGATAATAATGAAATTTAATTATTTTTATATATTTTATTAATCTAAATTAAATTAAAAACTTCAAAATAATTTTATGTTTAGATAATTTATAAATTAAAACAAACTAATTATCATACAAAAATTAAAATATATATTAAAACCATCATTATCTATAATCGAGTTCAAACAATTATATTTCAAGGTTATTATTTCTATTTGGACGACCTAATTTAAGATCATACTTATCTATAAGGTTAATTACTACTAATGTATAAAATACTTTAACTTTAATCAGATCATTTAAGATTGAACCCATTTATAAGATACTTAACCCTATTTAAAAACGTAATACCTTAATCTTACTTAAATTAATTATACCTAAATCCAATTTAAATGAATCGAATAGTATTGGACTAAATGCATGTCCTACTCAAACCCGTTTATAAAATATATATCAATCATACTTAAACGATTAAACAGCTTAACATAACTAAACACTAGAATAGTATTGAATTGAATAATATCCCGATCAAATTAAGCTCGTTTATAAGATATATTAATCATACTTGAACAAAAATATAATTAAATACATCTTAATCTTACTTAAACGACTTGAATAGGGTAATACAATTAATTACTTACTATATAACTATAAATCAGGCTCAAAGAAAAGATTTCTCTCTTCCTACTAGTTTTTCTTTTACATGTAATTTGATTTTTCTTGAGAGTAATTCAAGTAAATGCAGTAATAGAAAAGGGAAAAAAAATGAAGTATCTTATGAAAACCATGAAGGTGAAGGCATAGAGCTCCAGAATACAAATCAGTAGCCTAACTCTGCTGCAATTAATCTGGTACATGTTTGCATTTCCCTACTTGGGATTTGCTTCACTATCATCATCAACATCAGTGTCCAAGTCCAGCGCCAGGTTGTGGTGATTAGATGGGAGCTTTATCTTGCCCACTGAACCTGCAGTAACACGCTTAAGATCCTCACAGTTGCATATTTTTACCATGAATCCGTCTGGGTCGTTGAAGAAGAGCTGGGCGATCTTAGTACGGCTTTCATCCTCCATCGTCCTCTTGATGTACTACGTGTTGAACTCTTTCGACCTTCGATCCATTTCTTCCACGGCTTCACACTGCACCCCGTGGTAACAAAAAGTATGAAGCAATTTAGCATAATTAACATGGAAAGAACAAGGGGTTTTGAATGTGTGATTCAAGCTGATCAAACCTGGAAAGAAATATGGTTATCCTTGGGATCCAAATGGTCGGCGTCGGAAGGCAACCTGTCCTCATCCTTGGGACTGCACCAGTTGAATCCCTACGCCATAATTGAATACCCATGCGCCGTCGAAATCTAAAGCTGGCGGTCTTTCGACTAACACAAAACCTAGAACCTTGGTGTAGAAATCAATGGAGTGCTTAACGTCTCTGCATAGCCTGGACACATGGTTTAGAGCAATGAGAGGAGTTGGACTCACTTCTGTTCTTTCTTCCATTCTCGTTTTGTCAAACAGCACTCCTCCTCCGTTCTCTTCCTTGTTGGCTGTGTGAGGACAGTAACTTCCACGTTGAAATGGCTCGTGGCAAACGTTGGGTACTGATGCCAACACCTGGTGAGAAGAATTTCCTGAAATCTGTACGTGTTGGGTCGCTGACGGTAACGCCTGGCGACAAATGCAAATTCCTGAAGGCTAGCCGTCGCGGTCAAGGGCGTGCGCGGTCGATTTTATCGGTTCAGTTCGGTTTTGATCAAAAACCGATCAAAAATATTACAATAAACTGATTGAACCAATATAATGTAATGTCGGTTTCGATCGGTTACAATAATCGACAGTGGCGATCGGTTGGGCGGTCCCAACCGATCGTCGCACAGTCCTAAGAGAGGGAAATTTCGTTAGGTCAGTGGACTCGGGTGTGGGGAGGGGGGAATCATGTCGAGACTCGTGGGAGGGGGGGGAATTTTGTGTCGGCGAACTAGGGGGGGGGGGGGGCGGGAATCAGGTCCGGACTCGTGGGGGGTGGAATTAGGTCGAGACTCGCTGGAGGGAAGGGGAATTTTTAAGTCGGTGGACTCGGTGGGCAGGGGGGAGAGAATCAGGTCGGGACTCGGGAAGGGTGGAATCAGGTCGGACTCGCTGGAGGGGAGGAGAATTCGTTAGGTCGGCGGACTCGGGTGGGGGGGGAGAATCAGATCGAGACTCGGGAGGGGGAAAGTAGTGAGGTCGCGGGGCAGGCCCATGGGTAATTTGTCTTTAAAAAAATTTTTGATTTTTCGATCGGTTTGGGAGAAAAAGAGTCCCTCCGCACGACCGATCGATCAGCCGATGAGGTCGATTGGAACAACCGACGGTTACAAAAACAACCGCGTTGTAACCAGTCAGCATTACAATAACCGACAATGATAGTTGGTTGGGCGGTCCCAATCGACCGTCGCACAATCCTAGCCATGGGAGTGGACTCTGCTAGCGGTGCGATGTCAGACAGGCAGCTTCATATAAGCCCAACATAAAATACGACTAACATTTGTCCGTTAATAGAATGAGCCTTTGGCCCAATGGGCTTCGTCTATCTTTTAGCAACATAGGATGTACTTTGTTGAGTAAGAATGTAATCGAATATCTTTTATTCGGAACTTATGACTGTTCAATACGATTATATAAAAATTATATATCATTTATGTGATTTGAAAAGAATTAGGATAGAAATTTTAGTATCTATTTTGACTTTTGGGTAGAATACAAGTATTATCTTTTAGATTCTTGATATTTGAACCCAACTATATATTAAAAATATAATTCTTTTATTATACTTTTCATTAATGATTAAATTATTAATAAATTAAATATTTTAAATATGAAAATTTAATTACTTTCAGGTTCAACTTCAAGTTACTTAATTGAGTATGAATGAATAGATTACAAATTTTTGACTTGATTAATTAAGAAATTAATGAGATCGAGTATCTAATATGTATAATTTATAATATTAGGGTATGAGTATGAATAACATTTTTGAATGTCATCCGGGTGATTTTAAGTGTCACAAGTTCTTATTTTTAAGACAAAACAATCTATATTAGATGACCCTCCATCTACAAAATCATCTACTCTAGCACAAGGGATTAAAGCAATATCATCACCACCATGGCGACCACCACCTACTTTTACCCACTTTGTGTGAGCAGCAAAAAAACTCCGTACATGGAGGATTTTGCACTGGTAGGTTAAGAATGTCTTCCACTTTAGGAATCTTAATAAAATAATAAAAAACAAAAGAAACAAATAAAAGCTAGACTCTAACAAATGAAAGGCAAAATTTTCATTGTTTATAAAGACATATATGATAAATGCTGTAAAATCATTATTTATATACTCAAACCCAAGATATTTTTTTATTATATGTGACATTTAACCTCATCAAATTAGACAATACTCTTATTTCGATGACTCTTTATCTATAAAAAAAGACTTGTACATTAATTTAAATCTACTTCAACTTTTATATTTTTTGTAGAGATCTACGTAAAAAATTTAAATATATTATAATATCATCTATCATAAATTTATATTTTTAATTTAAAAGATATATTTGATATTGATAAATAAATAGTGAAAAATGTATGCTTATATATCATAGTTAACCTGTCTCTTAATGATGGGATCCGTGACAATAGGGCTGGTTACTTGCAATTACTGGTACCCTTTCAAGTAGCATTTTTAAAACGGACTTAGAATAGAAGGAAAAGAAACCGCGACTGCACTTGCAGGGTGGTAACTTTTACTTCAAAAGAGGAAAGTGGAAGTCATGGTCAACACTGTAACTGACGTTAGTTGAATGTACAACCAACAACGGTTTTGATCCTGTCTGTACACCAAGCACAGATCATGCTCCGGACATAAGGCCCCCCCGTTATCGCAAACCTAACGACTCCTTGTCCCCTTTGGTCCCACCACCAACCCCTCCAAACACGCCCACCCACACGCTCGGAGCCACCCAACCCAAAAGGCTTGCCTCTTCTCGCTTCCCACCATCCCGTTTCCTTCACCAAACCCCCTCCCAACAGTGGTTACCCAAAAAAGAAAGGAAAATATTAAAGGAGGTGGGGAAGAAGAAGATGTACCGGGATGTTTCGAGCTGCAACACGTACAACTATGGCGACGCCTTGTACTGGGACGCCCGTTACGTTCAGGAAGCTGGAGGTGCCTTTGACTGGTACCAGCGTTACTCTTCTCTTCGCCCTTTTGTTCGTAACTACGTTCCTACCTCCTCTCGTGTCCTCATGGTCGGCTGTGGAAATGCCCGTAAATTCTCCCTACTCCTTGCTTCCTTTGTTTTATTACTCTTTGGTTTTCCTAAACCCTTTTTTTATTATTACTATCTTAATATGTTTAGTGTTTTCTGATTGAGTGAAGTGCATATGTTTTGTTTGTTGAACAAAGTGTGGAGAAGGATGAAGGATGAAGGAATTGGATTTGATGAATGTGCGTTGTTTAGGCATGATGGGTTTGGAAGTTCAAATCTAGGGTTTTTGTTGTCTCTCTTTGCTTGCTGATTAAGCGTGGGAAAAAATGTTGGAAAAGAAAATTGAGTTTCATGGAAGGTTGATTGTCTAGTGATGAGGATGTTAATCGTTCTACTCTGGGGTTTTGTCTTCCTTTGCCCCTGTTGTTCTGTTTGCTAGCTGACAATGGTAAATTGCTGTAAAATAAACGTTTCAAACATAGTTAATACCAGTAAAGAAAGTTTTTTTCGCCTATGTTTGCTTCTGTTTGAGGATTTATTTAGAAAAAATTGGTTTTACCCTGTAGTTATGTCAGAGGACATGGTCAAGGATGGATATGAAGACATTATGAACATTGACATTTCCTCAGTGGCTATTGAGATGATGAGAAGGAAATACGAGTACATTCCTCAGCTGAAATGTATCCTTTTAACTATGATGGAATCTTCAATTTTGTTCGAGGAAAGCAATTCCCTGCCTTTATTTTTTGCTTTTATGATTCTTGTTTGTTCCATTTCCGTTTTTCTCCCCTTAAAGTAACTATATCTGTTTTTTGTGGTTTTCTTGATGAACCTAAATAGATATGCAAATGGATGTTAGGGATATGAGTTTTTTCCAGGATGAATCTTTTGACAGTGTCATTGACAAAGGTATGGCACCACCCATGTTTTCAATACTTTGTCGAAAGTTGCTGACTTCCTGCTTCAAAGGTTGATGGAAACTTTTTTTTGTTGTTGCTGAATCTGTCCTCATGAGCTGCTGAAATTCGATTTAGGAACTCTTGATTCTTTGATGGTATGATGCGTATTCACATGCTTCCATTGTCTCTTTTGTTCATTTTATGAAAACTAAAGAATTCTTCTTTGATATGATTTTTAGTGTGGCACGGACGCCCCAATAAGTGCTTCTCGGATGCTGGGTGAAGTCAGCAGGTAGTAAACTTAATGGCATTTGTAACATGTGTATCCCTTATTTTTGTCATCTTCATTTCTTAGAATAGATTTATTTCTTGTACCTATTATCAATTATAGTCACTAGAGATGTAGTCTTGTGATAGAAGTTGCCTCAATTGTGCATGCATTCAATTGCAAAATTGCTAGCTTAATGCCTTTTATGTTCTTGCTAGGCTTCTCAAACCTGGAGGAATCTATACGTTGGTAACCATTTAGCCAAATCTGAAAACTCTGTTTTTTGCAATTTCCCCTTTTTCACTCTGAAACTTCAAAACCTGTGATGTGTTCTTATATTGCAATTACCAGATAACTTATGGTGATCCATCAGTGAGGGTGCCTCATTTGAGCCGGCCACTGTATAATTGGAATATTGTGTTGTACAACCTACGTAAGTTCAGTGTCTCCTTCTTTATCTGTTTAAGCACCTCTGTTTCTTTCTCACCATTTTGTTGTATGGAAGGTTATATGTGCTTTCAGATTGCTATTTTGTTTGGTTCAATAAATACTCTTGAATTTAAGTTGTGCGCATCTTTTAGTTGTTCCAAGTTCCCATTATTAATTAGATCAACTTCCTAAACACTGACTGTGTTAGTCTTGCATGGTTTTACCTGAATGGCATCTGCTTTCATTGAATATATACCATCAATTCCTGTACTGATTTTCTAGTTATTCATTAAGGAAGCCACAAGAGCATGTTAATAGCTCCAGAGTCCATTTTGTACTATCTTTACTTTATCTCCCCACCTTGTTTTTGGGGTGGAATTTGATTCTAGTCTTCCGCACTTTGCTTGGCTATTCTGATCAGGAGGAAATGCACCTCAGAGGATGATACTTGTTTAGTGACTTGATGGTGAAGAAACATACTGGCATTTGTCTTTCATTACTCTTCCCATGAATGCTACCTGTGATCTCTATTTTTTAGCCACTCTCAAGTGAGAGATCCTCCATAGAAGTTTATGTAGATAAGATGACCGCATAAAAACCATTTTATTATCCAAATCTGTGAGTAGATGTTCTTGCTATAAACTAATGCTGTGAATATGCACAATCCCTAACATGCATATGGGCAAACCCATGATGTGTTCTCCATTCATTTCCTTGCTTTCCGGTAACTGTGTTTCAAAGTTGTAGTAGCTGCACCTTTACTGGCCAATGTTTGTCTTCGTGCATGCATGTCTTTTTTAATAAATTCCTACTGTTGTATGTCCATTGGTCGCTGACAAGAAGGAACCATAGTTTCAGTATGATTTAAACTCTGTTTGTAATGCCTTTTTCATTTGTTTGCAGCCAGACCAGATTTTAAGAGGCCTGGAGGTTGTTCATCAACAAAGTCATACTTGGAGCCTATTCCTATCACCGAAAAGGGCTTACTTCCTGCAGACTTTGTTTTGGAAGATCCGGATTCTCACTTTATTTATGTATGCAAAAAGATGGATGACACAGAGCTAAGAAACATACCCAGCTATCCATTAACAGCAGAAATTTTATAGTGAATAAGTAACTTTGAAGTGCTGAGGTAGCATTTTACTCTGCTTTACAAGCCTTGACATCACGTTTTAATTTTTAAGCTTTTGTATAATTATCAGCACTTCCAGGAATTAGGACAGATCACTAGGCATGCTCTTGTGTGTAACGAAAACAAGAATTCCATTTTTTGTTGTTTGACATGTTAGGTCAGCTGCTGGGCCATAAAAAATTAAGAAACCAAGGAAGAAGATAAACCCCTTTGGAGGAATGCTAGTGACTAGTGACTTAGAAGTATGCCTGCCATGTTTTGTATCCTTTATTTGTAGAAAACCCAGAACTGCATTCTGTGCACTGATCTTAATACTCATAAACATACAGCTTTCTTTTCCCAAAGTCTACTCTTTTAATCTTCTTTTGTTCTCGCAGTTTCTTTGAGCAATCCTTCTTTTAAAAAAAGGGTAAGCATTTGATTCAATAATTAATGCATGGTGTTCTTATTCATTGAGTAGGGTTCTACTATGGTTGATCCCATGGGCTAAGCTAAAACCTTTTTCATATTTCATAAGCAAGCAATTCAATTTATAAGCTGTTAAAATGTTTTGATGGCTGTTAAAATTTCCTTTGTTCTAATCTTGGAGCACTGTAAACTTGGCAATAGAATCTTTTGCCACTCTTCCTTGCCAAGTAAAATATGCAGCAAAAGGGGAAAAAGCAGAGTAAAATTTGCAGACAGTGACCATTCTTCTCCAAATTTGGTCACAAGTTTTACCAAATGTCCCATATCTAGCTAGAATTACAAAGTATGGGAAAAGATTCTGAAATCTAAAGGTGCATTTATAGCAAAATCCTTTCCAGTAATACAATCTGCCGAAATCTCTAAACTTGGCAATTCCCTTGCCAAACGCGGCTATGAAAAAATACTAAATCTAGCACGCCAGAAAGGGGAATATCACCATCTTTTTTCCCAAAATTAGCAAGGCATTAGCAAATATAGCAACCAAGAGGCAAGAGCTACCAAATCTAGCAAATTAACCATAATAAAAAGAGAGGAAATTGCCTAAAATCGGTGCAAGGTGCAGAGCGGTCCCCTTCCAATTTTAGCAGTGCCATTCCCAACTCTAGCAATGCAGACCCTCTAAAATCTAGCAAAAAAAAACAAGGGAAAGAAAAAAACCAGCCCCATTACTGCAATAAATACCAGAGGAATATATACATCTGTAATGGAAGAAAGAGTGGTCCCTTGCTGAAACTTCCCACAACTGGGACCCACAAAGGAAAGAATAGAAACGAAAAGGTGGGGCCCAGAGATGGACCCCATGAGGCACCTAAACTCTCCAAATGTGGCAAAGGAATCATGCAAGCACACTCTAAATAGAATACACAGAGCCATGCAAACTTGCCGTTTCCAGTCTCTCAAAAACGCCTCCCTTTTTTGTCTTCCCAATCTCTAAATTTAGTAATCCTTTCTCTTTCCAATTCTTTTTCCAAATTAAGCTCTTTTCTCTTAATAAGCAAAGCAAAGTTTAAAAATCGATGGACAAAGTTGTTGGTTTTTTGTTATAAAGACTGAATTGGAAGAACCATTTTGCTTTTGTTTTCTGTTTTTCTGGGTTTTTGGGTGCCAAAAGAAAACGAGCTTGAGAAGAGAAGAAGAGCGGAGAGAGAAGAGAAAAAATGGGCAGGGGGAAAATAGAGATAAAGAGGATAGAGAATGCTAACAGCAGGCAAGTCACATTCTCCAAGAGGCGTGCTGGGTTGCTCAAGAAGGCTAAGGAACTCGCCATCCTCTGTGATGCTGAGGTTGCTGTCATCATTTTCTCCAATACTGGCAAGCTCTTTGAGTTTGCCAGCTCTGGGTATGCCCAACTTTTTTATTTTTTGAAAAAGTTTAAATTCTTTTGAATTCTTTTCATCATTGCATGAGCATTTTTTTTTCTTTTTGTTGATCCTATCTGAGAATTTACTGTTTATCTTCCTAGAAACTTTACTGGCTTTTTTCTCTTCTTTTTTTGTGTGTAAGGAGCTTGACTCTTTTTCTTTTTGCTTTTTGATCAGAGTGGTTGAGAGCAATATTTACTTTATTTTTGATGATCAGTATGGTCTTTTATCAGGGATCATCAGATTATGAACTTTAGTGGGATAAGGTGGTTTTGGGAATTTTTGTTTGCATTCTTGCATGTTTGTTTGGATTGTATCTGCTGATAGTTTTGACTTTTTGGTCTTTTCTGTCATTTTGTTATGAACTTCACCCCTGCTGGTCTTCCCCTTTCTCAAAATTGTTACATTACAGTTTCTCCTTTTAGCCCCCTATTTTCTTAAGAAAAAAAACGAGCTAAATTTGGTACATTTCAGTTAAATTCTATTGAGTTCATGGCAACCTGATCAGTTCTATTTTCTGGTTTTCCTCTTCTCAAGCAGGTCAAGCAACGGCAGGGAATTATGTCCTGCATGTGCTGACTGTCACACTACCAATGGGTAGTTTTTGTATACTTTTATGTAAAATGAAATCAACAATTGTCTTTCAAAAAAAAAAAATTTATTGAGTTCACTAGAGACTTTTTTAATAGAAAAAGTTTGACAAGTAAATGACTTTTGTGGAATTGTCTGTTACCTTTTTGTTTCTTAATAGTTGCATGTGATTTTGGATTCTACCTGTTCATGTGTATTCCACTTTTTGAGGCTTTCTGTTGGTAACTGTTACTATAAGGTTTTGTTTGGGTTTGCAATGATAGAATTGTTTTCAAACTCCCCAATTTTTATTTTCTTGCTTTTGTACCTACATCAAGTGAAGCTATATTGCTTTCATTTCACAAGTGAGTTTCTCATAAAAATTTCAACAGAAACTTGGCATCAATTGATGTCAAAATGATTGATTTCATTTTTTGGATGGTATTTTGATGTTTTTCCAAGCAACACGTTAGTCTATGTCAGTGTCTACCTGTTAGCCTTCAGTGGTCTTCAATTAGTGAGATAGCGGAGGCAGTCCGGCTGTAGGATTTGAGAGGTGCTTTGCTTTCTTTACGATAGTTTGTGTGTTGATTATGATCCTAGTCTATATAAAGGAAGTTTAAGGTAGAAACAGCTCTAGATTGCACAAAATGGAGCAATTATAGGTGATGACTATGTACAAAATGAAAGTTCAAACAGAAGGAAGATGGGCTCAATTTCTTTCTAGAAAAAGATATTGTCTTATTCATTTGTTGATTTGTGCAGCATGAAGAAAACACTTTCTAGATACGACAAGTGTTCTCAAGGTACTCCAGAGATTGCTTTGGTCGAACACAAAGCAGAGGTAATCTGCAATTTCTGCTTGTGTACTGAAATCGGGTTTTCCTTCTGTCTTGTGCAATGGCAGATAAGTTATTTCATTTCAGTTTGTTTTGCTGTCCTGCTTTCACTACATTATCTCATATCCTTCTTGCCTACAGCAACAACATATTTCAAATTCTTCATCTATATGTTGGCTTTATCATTTATGTTGTATCTCGAGATGATAGTTGGAACCTAATTTAGTTTGCATGGCATGTAGTTACTACAAGTCGAAACATAAGTTTACTTGTTGGTAAAACATATTGTTCCTTGACAAAATTTCTTTTCCAAATATGTTTCTGTTTAGTTTATTTTTCCTTGCAATAGTTGTATGCTGAAAGTATACACATTAATAATTTCAAGTATACACTTGTTTTCAGAAGCAAGACTCTAAGGAGGCAGATAATCTAAAGGATGAAATTGCAAAGCTACAAATGAAACAGTTGTATGTCCCCTTAATTATATGTTATGGTTTAATTATTACATTTTTTGCCAATACAGAGATATTGCTTTTACTTAAACTAATTATTTTTCTGATTTTATAGACAGCTGTTGGGGAAGGACTTGACCAGCCTGAGCTTGAAAGAGCTTCAGCTCCTGGAGCAGCAGCTTAATGAAGGGTTGTTATCTGTGAAGGAGAAGAAGGTTTATTACATTTTGTCCAAGTTCATCAGATCTATTGGGTTAATTAGGTTCTTGTTTCTACAAACAATTTGTTAATATAAGAGGCCTTAACAGAAATCATATCATTTCAGGAACAATTGCTCATGGAACAACTAGAGCAATCAAGAGTACAGGTATGTTGGATCCCTCTCTGCATTTCTTTGTTTTGTCCAAATACCAAATTCTTGAACAAAGAAGATGGACAGTACAGTTGTCTCCAATAATAAGATCATTTTGAAAATAAATAGGGATCTTGATCAGGACACACACTAGAATTGAGCATGGTTACACTTGCACGGTGGAGGTGAGGTCTCAGAGAACTTGCAACACATTGGTTATAAGCACTCGAAGTTACTCTTGAAAGTCAGAATAATAAGGCTAGTAATATGCAAAAAGGTGGGAAGGTTGGGAGGAAATTGGGAAATGGAAAAATTTATGGAAAGTCGTTTATTATGTGAAAAAATCACTACTTCGGAGTCACTAAAGGTTATTGTTTCCCATGCATCTTTCCTGTTATGTATGTATGTCAGAAGTGGATTAATTCTGTTCACATGATCCAAAAGAACAGAAAAAAAAAAACCTTTGACGAAGTTAATTCTTTTGAATTTCTGCTACCAGGAGCAGCGAGCTATGCTTGAGAACGAAACTTTACGCAGACAGGCATGTTACATGTTTCTTGATGAATCTGAAGTCATTCATTTTGTTTTGAGTCACTCATAACCTATTTTGTCTTTCTCCTTCAATGCAGGTTCAGGAGCTGCGAGGTTTCTTTCCATCAACTGCTCGCCCAGTTCAATCCTATCTTGAATGCTATGCTGTTGAAAGGAAGAATCCTCTCATGAACCATAGCATTCCCAGTCCAGATGTGACCTGCAATTGCACTGTTGAAAAGGGAGATTCAGACACTACCTTGTATTTGGGGTATGTATTTTCTTATGATTTGGGTAATTTTCCCTGGAAATGCCCCAACTTGACAAATTTTGTGCTGTTTAATCATTCATTTTTAGCAAGGATTGATCAAGGTCTTGTCTTGGTTGTGAACTTAGTTCTACAAACCTTTTCAAGGCCTCCAATCGCCCTTGTAAACGGCACAATTCTGATAAAAGAGGCACTGCTTCATTTGTGTCACTATTAGGTGATTTTCCCTTGTTGGCTTATCTCTGCTAGGATCCATGAATAATGATTTATTTTCATGAAAGAATTGACCAATTATTTACTCTGCCTGTCATCACCCTAATTCCACATTTTTCAAGGCCTGCAACTGGCATCAGAAATAGTTGAACTCTAACAATGAAGTCAATGCTTCATTGAATTCTTCTAGATAATTTGCAATTTGTTGCCCTTGCTAGCCAAAATGAAAAAAGAGTTGTTTCCCTTGTCATGCTATTGTAGTCAATCTTCTACCATTTTGTCAGGTCTGACTTATACACTCCCTTCTGTTATCAGGTTGCCAAGTGACTGTCACAAGAGAAAGAAACCTGAAAGAGAAACTCATTCCAATGACTCAGAAAGCCAATTGGGGCTGCTGTGATCCTTTTCTTCATGGTGTTCGCTCTGCCTTTTATATGGATTCCAGAACTGAGATATGGTACAGATGAGTCTAGTTTGGTAGTTATTAAAACACCAGTTGTCAAAATCAAAGAAGTCAGACATAGTGAAGCTATATATGGTTCTTTTCAGGAGGAAGACTAAGTTTTCAGGTTATGGATATAGTTTAGTCTGAGCAGTTATTGAAAAAAGAAAAGGTCAGGGATATTGCAAAATAGGCTTTCCTTTATTAAATTTTATTTCTTTTTATCTTGTATTCCATTGCAACTTTCTTTACCAATTGAATTAGTGATGTTTCCCTTCCTGTTTCATTTGGTGACTAAAAGAAAATTTTGTTTTTGGCATCTTCAATTTCCTTGGTAGTTGGTACCCTGCAACTTTAGCCAGTAAAAGTTGCTTTTCATGGGGTTTCAGAACCTCCTGAAAGTATTCATTACAAAACATCAATTCCTTCACTGGTCCAAGACCAGGGAACCTACCCTCTGTTCTTACAGAAAACAGAGATATGTATATGAAACAAAATACAATAATTTGAAACAGATAAGATGACTGTAATTCCATTTCAATTGTTACTTTTGAAGATACAAATACAGTAAAACAAGTCTTACAAATGTTGCAACATATATCTAACCAAAAAAATTTAAACAAGTTTCTTTATGTACATGAGAAATTGTGGGGATTGAAGCTATTGCTTGCGTTGGCAAACACCGTGGAGCAGTTCATTTCTGCCTGCCAAAACTTTCGAGAACAGGTCATCCACCTCCTTTTCCAAAGCTTCCAGCTGCTTCTCGAAAACACCCAACCTTCTCTCCAATTCCTTGGCTGCATCACTACTGCTTTCCCCGGAGGCGATGGCTGATACTAGGGAAGCTGCATCATTATTCAGGTCCTTAACCTCTCTCAATACCTCACCTTTCTCCACTATAACTTCAGAAACGATTGAATCTACACTGTTTAACAAAGAGCTGTTGAACCTGGCAATCAATTGTTTGATCTCCAAGAATGG